GAAGGCCGTGGAGCCGGCCGGCGCGGCGCGGTCGAGGAGGAAGCGGCCGTCGCGGTGGTCGCGGACGAGCCAGGCGCGCGCGGGGGCCGGGAGGAAGGCGAAGGAGAAGTCGGCGGCGAGGGCGAGCGCGCGGGCGGGGCGGGCCGCGGGGTTGGGCGGGAGGGCGGGGAAGAACCCGGCGGCGGCGTCGGGGACGAAGACGCCGAGCGGGGGCGGGGCGTGGAGGGAGCGGACCCGGCGGAGGAACCGCGGGGAGGTGACGACGCGGCGGAGCGAGGCGCAGGAGGCGGAGGCGCGCGCGAGGTCCGCCGGCGACGGCAAGCGGATGAGGATGTCCGCGAGGAGGTCGTCGGTGAGCGCCAGCAGGCAGCCCATCGTCGTCGTCGTCGGCAGCGGCGGCGGAGCGGTGGATCTACGTTCTACGGCGACGGAGAGAAGGGTGGGGAGGGGACGAGAATGGTCGGCCGGGTTGGCGCCTCGTGTTGCCCCAGAAAGAGGTCGATTGGGCTCGGGAAGCCGGTTCCTGCGTATGGGCTCATGGGCCTAGGCTGCTAGTTTTGGCCCACTCGCCGATAATATAGCGGTGGCTTACTCTAGTTTGGCCCGACGCGCACTAAAGCATGAAGTTGTAAAAAAAAGTTGTCATCTTTGCCAACTAAAATTGTCATCCTTGCATCACTGAACTTGTCATGAAAAATGTTCGATTTGTCATGTGCCCGTACCTGATGTTGGAAATATTAGCACTTTTTCGATTAGACTTATCTACGAGTAAACAGTAAGCATGGCATAAAAGGTATGCATCTCATAGCGATACCTAAGCATACTAGCACGTACAGAACATAGAATTGAACCATCTATGAGCAACACATATACGGCTAGCATAAGTACGAGTAAACGAGGGATGAACAGATCATACCCTCCGGTTGGCCAGGCCAACGCGGCGGCGGCAGCAGCAGCCTCGGCGTCGTCCGTGGCCTTCTTCTTGGAGGCGGCGGCGTCGGCCATGGTGTCGATGCAGGGGAAGTAGTGGAAGCAGAGGCAGACGAAGTTGGGGACGGACCGGGAGCAGTCGCGTCGAGACGCTCCCCAAAAACCTTATTGCCGTTCTCCCGGGCAGGATCTCGAACGACAGGGTTCTGGAGGCACCTGCTCTCCCGACCAACCGTGCACGCGGTCATCGGGATGGGATCGCCGGAAGCAGCATAGAGAGAGGAACAGTAGCTGACGGCTAGGGTTGTACGAGAGGCAGTGAGTGAATTGAGTTAGGGTTCACTCCACTGGCCAGTGCCTTCTTATATAGGCCGTCAGGTAGATGGGCCTGGGCCAGGCCCACGACCGAGTCCGCGAACAGCCCACGGTCCAACGTCTCGGACAATGGCGCTTTCGTAAGCGACTCGTTAATTAATTAACAATTAATTAACCATTCCTGAGCGGCAAAAATAAGCTTCGGCTCGGCTCATTCCCGCAACCCGCGGCGCGCGCGCGTGTTGTGACGAGGCGAGGCATGGCGTGGCGAGGCGAGGCGGGCGGCGGAGGAGGAGGAGCGCGCGTGTACAGCTCCTATTCCCAAGCTCCCAATAGCAAGTGGTAGAGCAGTCTTTATAAAGAGGTCCTCACTCTTCTTGCTGTAGCAGTATGGGACTAAACTTCTCACACTTCCCACCACTTGTCGTACACATGCATGGGCCTTAGAGATTAACCAGGGATTAGTGTCTTATATGGGCCTAAGCCCCATCCATAATCCAACAATCCCCCACCAGATCTCGAGGCACATAAGTTTGTCAACTGTTCCAAACAATGTTTGATATACCAGAAGTTTCAGTGGAGACCGTTAAGTTGAACTTCCACCTGGAGCAACAGGATTAGACTTCTTCACAACTGAACAATGGACTATGCCTTGAATTGTCAGTTTGGCGTGCAGAAGTTTCGCCTATTGTCAGCTGATACATGGCTGCTGAAGGCTAAACCCCACGGGTGGAGCCTATTAGTCATACTCTGTACCTTCTCATGAGCTTACTAGAGATTACCCAATCTCATAGACTGTGACCAGCAGTCGGACTCACATAGGTGTGTTCCTCCAAAGAATGCTCTGTAGGTTAGCATCTTGCTTACATAAGCTTTGGAACACATTAAGACAAAAGTCAGCCTGCCTTACAGAATTGAGAGTATCACTACATCTCCAACGGAGTGGGTTTATTAAGGATACTCTCCTAAGTTGATCGTTGAATTGTTTTTCCAGGTCCTAATTCACGGGATCTCCGATCACATAGGTTGGGTTACCCCCATGGCAACTTACGTCGGTCTCATACCCATCTCCCTCGATGCATTTTGTATCGCAATCCATGATAGCCCTTTCGTAAAAGGGTCTGCCAGATTCTTAGCCGTCTGGATATAATCCAACGCTATTACTCCGGAGTTTCTTGATTTTCTGACAGATTTCAATTTTCTTCTTATGTGCTTTGTGGATTTCATGTTATCCTTTGAACTCTTAGCCTTGGCAATCACTGTTTGATTGTCACAGTTCATAAGGACAGCCGACACTGGTTTATCAACCACCGGCAAATCCATCAAAAACTTTCTAAGCCATTCTGCTTCGACGCATGATGTGTCTAATGCTGTGAGTTCTGCTTCTATAGTCGATCTGGTTAAGATCGTCTGCTTGCAAGACTTCCAGGAAACAGCACCACCACCAAGTGTGAAGACATGTCCACTTGTGGCTTTCATCTCATCAGCATCAGATATCCAATTCGAATCACTATACCCCTCAAGTACCGTCGGGTACCCAGAATAGTGAATTCCATAGTTCGCAGTACCTTGCAAATAACGCATCACTCGCTCAACAGCATGCCAATGCACATCTCCCGGATTGGAAACAAACCGCCTCAGTTTGCACACAGCAAATGAGATCTCAGGACGAGTAGCACATGCTAGGTACATCAGTGAACCAACCACTTGAGAATATCTCAATTGATCTACAGCCGTGCCTTCGAACTTTCGAATCTGCACGCTAGGATCATATGGTGTTGCAGAAGGTTTGCAGTCCGAATATCCAAAACCGGCTCAAAATCTTCTCAACATAGTGGGATTGCAAAAGTGTAATTCCACCCTCAGAATTTCTCAGTAGCTTGATGTTCAGGATAACATCAGCCACACCCAGGTCCTTCATCTCAAAGTTGTGAGATAGAAAATACTTGACCTCCTCAATGACCTTGAGGTGGGTCCCAAATATCAGTATGTCATCGACATACAGACACAGTATAACTCCTTCGCCCCCACCATAGCGATAGTACACACATTTGTCAGCTTCGTTCACAACAAAGCCAGCAGATGTCAGAGTAGTGTTGAACTTCTCATGCCATTGCTTAGGCGCTTGTTTCAGGCCATACAAAGATTTCACTAGTTTACACACCTTTCTTTCCTGACCATTTACTACAAAGCCATCCGACTGTTGCATGTAAATTTCCTCGTCTAGCTCTCCGTTAAGGAAAGCCGTCTTAACGTCCATCTGATGAACGAGAAGACCATGCGAGGCAGCCAAAGCGAGTAACACTCGAATGGTTGTCAGTCTAGCCACAGGTGAATAAGTGTCAAAGAAATCATCTTCTTCTTTCTGGGTATAACCCTTGGCCACAAGCCTAGCCTTGTACTTCTCAACAGTACCATCGGGTCTAAGCTTCCTTTTGAACACCCACTTACATCCTAATGGTCGACAACCATAAGGACGATCAGTGATCTCCCATGTCCCGTTAGCCAAGATGGAATCCATCTCACTACGGACCGCATCCTTCCAGCAGTCAGCATCCGGAGATGCATAAGCTTCTGAAATGGTACTGGGAGTATCATCATCCATGAGGTACACAGGGAAATCATCACCAAAGGACTTTGCAGTCCTCTGTCTCTTGCTCCTAACAGGAACTTCCTCGTCATCCTCCGTGGAACTCTCATCACTTTTATGTTCATAGTATTCCATCGGAATAGCAGGTTCAGGAGTCTCATCAGATTCTAGTCTAGAAACGCTTTGCATATCTCTCATGGGGAAAATATCCTCAAAGAATGTAGCATCCCTAGACTCTATAATTGTACCGACCTTCTGGTCAGGTACCTCAGATTTCACCACTAGAAATCTATAGCCAACGCTATGCTTGGCATAGCCAAGAAAAACACAGTCCACGGTCTTCAGTCCCAACTTGCGCTTTTTGATTATCGGCACGTTGACTTTCGCCAAACAGCCCCAAGTGCGCAAGTAAGAGAGTGTATTTCTTTTCTTTTCCCATTGCTCATAGGGAGTAGTCGCATTATCCTTTGTGGGAACTTTATTCAGGACATGACAAGATGTTAATACAGCCTCCCCCACCATGCCTTGGATAAACCCGATGTATCTAACATGGCGTTAACCAAATCAGTTAGAGTATGGTTTTTCCGTTCAGCAACCCCGTTTGACTGGGGTGAGTAGGGAGGTGTCCTCTCATGAATAATGCCATGTTCCGCACAGAATAAATCAAACTCATTAAAAAAGTACTCTCCACCATGATCAGACCGGACTCGTTTTATTTTCTTCTCAAGTTGGTTCTCAACTTCAGCCTTATAGACTTTAAAGTAGTGTAGAGCCTCATCCTTAATATTTAACAAATACACATAGCAGAATCTAGTGGAATCATCAATCAGAGTCATGAAGTATTTCTTTCCACCTTTAGTCAACATACCATTCATCTCACAGAGATCTGAATGTATGAGCTCTAGAGGTGCCAGGTGTCTCTCCTTCGCAGGCTTGTGAGGCTTACGAGGTTGCTTAGCTTGCACACACGCATGACACTTAGAGCCTTTGGCTAAAGTGAAACTCAGGGTTGAATCCATTTTAGCTAGCCGCGTCATACAACCGAAATTTATGTGACAAAGACGTGAGTGCCAAACCTCAGATTCGTTCACATTAGAATGAATTTGGTTCACGACTTTATTACAGAAATCCTCCAAGGAAAGGCGGAACAAATCACCACAATCATATCCTTTTCCAACAAATAGTCCATACCGAGATACGACTACTTTGTTAGACTCAAATACTAACTTAAACCCTTCTTTACATAGAAGGGAGCCACTAACGACATTCTTCTTTATGGCGGGGACATGCTGCACATTTTTCAGTTGCACGATCATTCTCGAAGTAAACTTCAGATCTACCGTGCCAACACCATGAACAGAAGCATGCGAGCCATTCCCCATCAGGACGGAACAATCTCGTGCGGCCTGGTAGGAAGAAAACAAAGACACATCAGCACACGCATGAATATTGGCCCCAGTGTCAATCCACCAATCGGTGGACTGACAAACTGAAATTATGGTAAACAGATTACCATACCCAGATGCCGCATCGTTGTTAC